AGAAAATTTATAACAAATTTTTATTGAAAGGAAAATATTTTTTGTGAGTTAAAAGTGAAGATTTAGACTATATAGATTTTGCGTTTGAAAATGTACCGTTTATAAGTTCGAAGGTCTGAGGCGTTTCGTGACTTCTTCAATCCAACAGGATGCGATATTTTTTTTTTTTTTTTTAAACCTCGCGCAGACTTGAATGCGGTTTTTCTGAACTCCATTTTTAGGCACGACTATGTGGTTTCAAGTGCACGATACAAAAGTGGATAAAACAGAGAGTAGAAAAAAGATTTGATTTCTCGATTTAAAAAATTACATTAATAAAGAAACTTTCTCAAAAAAAAGAAAAAAAATATTAAATTAAATTCATATTATTTAAATTAAAAATAGAATTTGAATTTTCAGATAACCCATTTGACCAGTAAAAATAGAAATTATTTTTGAAATTATTATCAATATTTGTTTTGAAATTACACAAATATGTTTGAAATAAAAATCGAATATGTTTAAAATTAAGATATTCGCGTTAAGAACTAGTTTTTGAAAATGAAAGTCGTAAATACTTTAAAAAAAATTTAAATCTCAGAGATTTAAAAAAAAATACAAATTTTAATTTTAATTTGAATAATTCAATTTTCAAATAAGAATAATATTAAAAAAAAATTATATAAAATTGTAATTTTGTTATTTTATTAACATTTACTTTTTTTTTATTAAAGTAGGTTTTTTTGGATTGTCATCTTGCTCGTAATTAATATGACAAATGTTAAAAATATTTAACTTTTTTTTTCAAGCATTTGTGAAAGAACAGAGGAAACATCGATTACTTTTGACATTTTATGTATACACGATATACATATAGTATAAAATACGGTAGTAAAATCGAGGAAATAATTTATCTTCTTTTTTTTTATTGACTTTCACGATTTTTCCCTCAACATTTTCCAAATTAGTGTACGTATTATTATACCAAAAGTTTATTACTTTCCTTCATTGTGGATATGATGTTATGATCATATGAATTTATTACAATAATAATAGGCGTGTATGTTATATGTTAATGAGTTCCAGATGAGCAATGCCCATGACAAGAATTCTCGCGGGTGGAGATTCGATAAATGTCACTATCTTAACTGTTTTCAGATTATTTTTTATTTATTTATTTTTATTCAGATTGTCGTTAAAAATAAGAAATTTAAAAAAAATTAAAAATTAAAGAAAAGAAAATAATAAAAATAAAAATAAAAATAATAATAATAATAATAATAATAATAAATTAAATTAATTAAATAAATTAAATACACTGTAAATAAAATGTATTTGATTCAAATATTCGGTTACTTGACTACCCAGACAGCACATAACATTGCGGCAATGTTGCGGCAATATTGCTGGGCAAGTTTCGCAATATTGCCTTGTAACATTACAGCAATGTTGCCACAACATTAAAATGTCCCACCTTGCTCAATATTGCACAGTAAGCTTGCCACAAGGTTATGGCAAGGTTGCACCACAAGCTTGCAGCAATGTTGCACGGTAACATTGCCGCAAGATTGCTCGGCAAGTTTGCATCGTAAGCTTGCTGTAAGATTGATGTAAGGTCGAATAGTAAGCTAGCTGCAATTGACTCAAATAATAATTATTTAATACAAATAAACATTTATTTAATGCTAGTAAAGTAACCAATTATTTGAATCAAATTAATTTTTTCTAAATGTAAGAATAAAAATAATAAAAATATAAAAGTAATACAAATAATAAAAATAATAAACAATAAATAAATAAATTTATTAAATAAATATATAGTTGGCTATAAATATTGTAGTGATTTGCAAAAAAATAAAATTACATTTATTTTTCTTATATTATCTTATCTTTGAGATATTATCATATTGTTCGATTTTAAATAATCCTTGCTCTATATTTTAGAAATAATTTATCTAAGTGTTTTTGATGGATTATTGCTGTAATAGACAATCATCAATTCAATCAAATGTTGTCGATGATATTGTCTTGTGTAACATAAAATATAAAAAGGAGAAACTATATATATAAAACGTCACGAAGAGCGCATATATTTGCAACAATGTTTGAGAAATCAAGACGCGAAATAAGAATCATTTTCACCTTTTTCGAAACTTTTCTCTCTCTCTCTCTCTCTTTCTTTATATTAGATATATATTACGCTACAATTATAACGCTGCTATAAAAATTCATTTATTTATTATATACGCTTTCTCTAAATCTGCAAAAAAAAACTTTGCAATTGCTATAAACTTATCAGATTTTATACAAAACACTTTTTTGTTTATTTTTTTTTTTGGCAAATTTTCCTTTAAAATTAAAAATTTATTTTTAATTTTTACTTTAAAAAATAATTTAATAATTTTTTGTAAAAGATCTCTATATTAAAAATAATAGCAATTTTGTAAATGACATAATTGTTTTTTCTCGTTTACTTTTACTTGTGAAAACAATTCATTTGTCATTCTGGATAATTGCAATTATTCTAGTTTTGTAAACATGGTTATAAAGTTGACTTTTCATCATCGTTACACCCGCATCTTTTCTATGATGATTGCTAATAAATAAATTAATAAATAAATTAATAAATAAATTAATAAATAAATTAATTAATAAATTAATAAATAAATAAATAATGATTTCCCTTTTCAAATACTGTTAGTCTATAGATAATAATTTATGCGAATAATGATTCAGATGATGATAATAAGAACACAAGTATTTATTATTCTCATAAAAAAATTATTCTGATGGTAACCCGTGGGTTACAATTTTGGACATTGGGCACAATGATACACTTGAGATTTATTCCCTCTTTCTAGTTTTCTACTTTTTTATATGCGTCAACTTTATTTTTATCTTATAATGAGAAATTTTGCTATCATTTTTATTTTTTAACATTACAATAATTTACACTCACTAAAAGTTTCTTCAAAATTCTTTCTCTTTAAAAAAAAAAAAAAAAACAATTTTTAAAATTGAAAACAAAAATTAATACTGCATATATTTCTTAATTTCTCATAAAAAATTTTAAAAAATTCTAAAAAAAATTATTTTATAAAATTTTACTAATTTGAGAAAATGCTATATATAATTTTTTCTCCAAATAGAATAATTAATCGCTCTTTTTAAATCGTGATTTTCAAAATATTTTTTTATTAATTATTAAATGTGTGTGTGAAAAATATTAAAAAGTTTAATATAATGCTTCCTATTTCATATAAATTAGTATAAACAAAAGGCAATACTTTCTATCAAATTAGTCGAGAGTTGATAATTGATATACTTATATATTTTTTTTTTTCTCTCCAATTGTTACACAATGTATTATTCTTATGTTATTATATTAAAAAGATAAAGTTAAATAATTAAAAAGGAGAGATAATAATTGTTATATATTATTTTGATTTTTGTCTCTTTTATTTTTTCACGAGACAAAAAAAAAATATGAGTTTTAATTTCACGAAGATCACAAAATAAAATTATTCAATTGCAACTGAAAAATTATGGTTTAACAATTTATTACTTTCTCTTGGTTTTTATTGACTAGTTTATATTGTCTATAGTCATCACAAAAGATAAATAACAAAAATTGCCCAAGAAGAATGTTAAATAGAGCGATTCTAACGTTTTAGTTATAGTAAAATGATTATTGCAAAGTATTCTACAAAAATATTTTGCAAAATTAGAAAAGAAATATTTTTTCAAAAATTTATTTATTTATTTAATTTATTATTATTTATTTATATTTATTATTTATTTTTATTTATTATTTATTTTTTTGTTCCGATAATTATCGAATAATCCCCACTGGAATTTTTATTATATTTTTCACTTGTTCCTTTAATATTTCTGTTCACGTATTTTTTTATGATGGGATTTTTGAAAAAGAATATAGGCTTGACGAAAGAAAATAATATACAAAAGAAATTTTTCACACTAGAAAAGATTCTCAGTAACTAAACCCGCAGTGTAAATGATAATTTGCTGACCTGTTCAGCAAACTTCCATTGTGAGAGAGAAGGGTCTTTAAACTTTACTTATTGTCATCCATTTACAACCTGTTACCGCTTATATATATATATATACCTTATTCATCTTTGAGTTTCAACAAAGATGTATATTTTACATTTTTATTTAACTTTACAAAAAGAAAAATGTAAATAAAAATGTGCCTCTAAAAAATGTGATTTATTATGGGATTTAATGGAATTTCTATTTTCATGAATTTTCATTCTAATAGAATTTTAATTTAGCCAAATTTTCATTTAGCAAAAAATTTAATTTGGAAAAATTTTTATTTAGCCAACTTTTTATTTAGCAAAAGATTAATTTAGAGAATTTTTTATTTAGCCAACTTTTTATTTAGCAAAAAATTTAATTTGGAAAAATTTTTATTTAGCCAACTTTTTATTTAGCAAAAGATTAATTTAGAGAAATTTTTATTTAGCCAACTTTTTATTTAGCAAAAGATTAATTTAGAGAAATTTTTATTTAGCCAACTTTTTATTTAGCAAAATATTAATTTAGAGAAATTTTTATTTAGCCAACTTTTTATTTAGCAAAAAATTTAATTTGGAAAAATTTTTATTTAGCCAACTTTTTATTTAGCAAAAGATTAATTTAGAGAAATTTTTATTTAGCCAACTTTTTATTTAGCAAAAGATTAATTTAGAGAAATTTTTATTTAGCCAACTTTTTATTTAGCAAAATATTAATTTAGAGAAATTTTTATTCAGCCAACTTTTTATTTAGCAAAAGATTAATTTAGAGAAATTTTTATTTAGCCAACTTTTCATTTAGCTGAATTTTAATTTCCAGAAATTTTTATTTAGCCAAATTTTTTTTCGCTAAAATTGAATTTCCAAATATTTTTTTAGCCAAATTAAAATGCCATTTAAAATGAAAATTGATGGTTAAATTTAATAAAGAAATAATATTGAATTAAAAATTTTTTGACTGTAAACGATTTATTTTAACAGAATCTGGAGCAAGAGAGGCATCTTCTTCGAAGAAGATTGGAGGAGGCGAGGGACGAGAGTGATGCTCGAGCCCTGGAACTTGAGGCTGATGTTGAATCGTTAAGAAGCCAATTGGAGGAACAAAGCGAACGTTCACGAAGAGCTGAACGGGATCAGGCGACTTTAGTTGTCGAATTAACGGCCCAGAACACGCGACTCGCTGATCAGTTGAGAGAAGCTGCAAAACAAGAAGAACAACTCCTTATGGAAGTAAAAGTTCTCAGGGAAAAATGCGCCAATCGAAATAATACCCTTCAAGATCATGTCAGCAGTCTTGAAGTCCTTCGAGACGAGGTAATAATAATGATCGATAATTCTTTTCAATTTATTATTATTATAATTATTTATTATAATAATAATTATTATAATACTGATAAAATAATAAATAATAATTATTATTTATTAATTTATTATAATAATATTATAAATTAAAAAATACTTCCTCTACAAAGGAGGCAAAAAATTTACTTTCGAAAAAACCTCAATCTTTATGAAACATAGGTACTAAAAACAAAATTTTAATAATAAAAACCGAAACTGTAAAAAAAGAATTTAGTAATTCTTTTGCTAAATCAAGAAGAAGATTTTGAAAAAAAAAAGATGACGAAAATTTTTATATTTTCGATATAGAAAGTGATTATTTAATCGAATTAAGAAAAAAAAATAGAATCCATTTCTGATTTAATATGAGATTATGGTGACGTCTTTTTTTTCTAATTGGAGAAAAAAAATTCACTTGAAATTTTGGTGAAAAATTTAGACCATATATATATATATATAATATTACATCAGTTAATATGGCCTAGTTTCAAAATAGTTGCGGGATTATACTCGTTAAAATGTTTGAAGGTCAAACCTATGACTAAGATTGCCAAATATTCTTGGATTTTAAGACATAAACTTTTCTAGGGCACAATATGCGTGTTACTTTCAAAAAATATTATCCAAGTTCATCTCATGTATCTTTAATTGTTTTTTGCAAACTTTTTTTCTAATTTTATCGGAAATCCAAAAAAAAAAAATTCTTTCTATTTTTTTTCTATTCTTTATTTTTTTTAGATTTCTTTTTATAAATTATATACAATTTTCCTCCTACGTCAAAAATCGATCGTTATGGAAATTTTTCCAACTTGCAATAATTAGTATTCTACACTAACAATAGGAAAATATTTTATTAAAATTTAAATAAATTGTCATAGATAAAAAAAAAATTACATTAATTTTTGTTTTTATCAAATATTTCTAATTTAAAAAAAAAATTTTTTGATAAAACGAACGTTAAAAAACAAAATCATAAAAAAGAAATTGACGTATGCTTGACAATCTTGTGTTTAGACAAGTGTTTCTGAATTTTCTTCCTCAAATAAATTATAATCACGTGACAAACATATGATCTTTTTGTTTAAACGAAAACGTTCTGTTAAAAAATAAAAAACAAACTGTCTTTCAGAAAAAAAAAAATTCTTATTGAAAACTTTATTACTAAAAAACTCTTTAAAAAAATATTCAAAGAAATCGTATTTTCGAAAATTCGTTATAGAAAAAATAGTTTCTTTTTAGAAAAAAAAATAGTAACAATAAAATAATAACAGTTTGAAATAAATACAAAAAAAAAATATTGTATGAAAAATATTTGACGAGTGAGCATAATTATTATGTTTTCGAAAGATAATAAAACTTGAAATAATAATAATAATAATAATAATAAGATTGTTATCAGATTTTTTTTGGGGGCTATAAACTAATGTTTCTTCATTTTTATAGGTGCAATTAGTCTCGGCTCAAAGAACAGAATTGGAAAGGAGATCTTTGGAATTACGGGAGGAAAGGGCTCGAGCCTTGGCAGCCCTCGAGGAAGCCGAAGAGAGGGCCGCGGCCTTGGAGCGACTAGGTAACGAAGCAGAACACCGAGCGAGAGTAGCCGAGCAAGAAAGGTATATTATTCTCGCAAAGACAAACCAATACTTATATAATGTATATCATTATTAAAAATCTATAGCTTTGTCTGTTTTATATATATATATATATATATATATTTATTTGTATATATAGTAAAACTGAAACTATATAGAGATAACGATTGATCGGTTCAATTTTATTACGACATTTTGCATTAATGCGTTTTCAACGCCCACGCTTCATTTTATACCGGACATGCTACCTACCCTGATTTTCCACAGTCTAAACACGTAGCTTCTTGATTTTTTTTATTATTATTATTATTTTAATGAATAAAAAGATATACCGGATGTTATAGAGTTGCTTGAACGAAGTTGAGGCCCTTTTTTACCAATTTATTGAATTTTCTGTTTTTTTTTTTATTATGAAATCTAAATTATTTGTATTATTCATTTCAGAAGCAAAGATTAAGAAAAGTTATTTAAAAGAATTTTTATTTTACCTTTAAGAACATTAAAAGGAATTTATATTCTTGTAATTTTTTATTTGCTTGAATTTATATTAGATTATTTTTTACATTTCTTCTACATTTCGAAATAGTATTTTTATAGTAAAAGATTTTAGTATTTTTACACTGTAACAGAAATCTACCTTGCCGACTGTTGATAAAACGGTTTTTCGAAAAATAAAGATATAAAAATTACTGACATAGAAATCGACTATACCAACTAATGGTAAAACAGTTTTTTTAAAATGAATATATAAAAAATTACCGACATAAACATCTACCTTACCGAATGATAGCAAAATAGTTTTTTTTAAAATGACAACATAAAAAATTACCGATGTAGAAATCTACCTTACCGACTGATGGTAAAGTAGTTATTTAAAAAAAGATCATATAAAAATTACCGACATAGAAATCAACTATACCGACTAATGGTAAAACAGTTTTTTTGAAAATGAAGATATAAAAAATTACCGACATAAACATCTACCTTACCGACTGATGGCAAAATAGTTTTTTTTGAAAAATGGCAATATAAAAAATTACCGACATAGAAATCTACCTTATCGACTGATGGTAAAACAGTTTTTGAAAAAGATCATATAAAATTTACCGACATAGAGATCAACTATACCGACTAATGGTAAAACATTTCTTTTGAAAATGAAGATATAAAAAATTACCGACAGAAATCTACCTTGACAACTGACAGTTTAATAGTTTTTGAAAAAGGATCATATAAAAATTACTGACATAAAAATCTACCTTACCGACTGATGGTAAAACAGTTTTTTTTGAAAAAATACCATATAAAGATTACCGACATAGAAATCTACCTTACTATCAGTCGGTAAGGTAGATTCTTATGTCGGTAATTTTTATATGATCCCTTTTTCAAAAAACTGTTTTCCCGTCAGACGGTAAGGTAGATTTCTATGTCGGTAATTTTTCATATCTTCATTTAAAAAACTGTGTTACCATCAGTCGGTAAGGTAGATTTCTATGTCGGCAATTTTTTATATTGTCATTTTTCAATAAATCTGTTTTGCCATCAGTCGGTAAGGTAGATGTCTGTGACGGTAAATTAGTATATTTAAGAATTCTCTAAATGAAAATTTGAAATATCGAAATTAAAACATGAAAAATTCTTCTAAAAAAAATTAATTTTAGATATTCACGCTTTTTCAAAATTTCGTATTAAAATATCAAAGAATAGAATTTCGAAAAAAAGAGAAGTGAAAGGAAAGAAAGGTGCAGAAAACTTGTAAATAGATTTCTGATCATCCATTGTATAAAGGAATAATAGGGTGGGGAAAAAAAACATAATCTTTACGTGACCATCTGCTATTTTTTTTTTTTTTATTTTATGTATGTTTTCTTTTTCATTCAACAGAGATGAACTGTCGGCGGCTTTAGCAACAATCGAGGCCGAACGAAGAGGAAGATCAGGATCGATTCAGAAGCCACCGAGATCACTGCAAGCGGAAATGGAATGCGAGGAGAGCGGAAGTTCACTGGGGGAGCAGCAAGAAGACCTTAGAGCGGAAGTGACACGATCGTGTAAGCGTTTGAGGGAATTGTGTTCCCGACTACGTAGGGGCGAGGACGACTCAGGTCTTCAGAGTGATTGTGACGAGTCGATGCTCGTCATTGCCAATGGCACCGAAGCCGAGGTGAATAAAAATATACCTTTTTTTTTTTTAGTCCCCTTATCTCATTGGCTCGCATTTCCTTTTTTTACCCCATTCAAAAGACAATATGTGGGTGGTCAATGAAATTCAAGATCTCCTTTTGGTTTCATGTTCTATATATGCACTTGACACGGGAAAATGAACTCTTTTCAAAAATTTCGCTAAATGTTCTATAATCTAGTCTAGAATTTTGAGTAATTCGAATTTTTTAACTATCAGAAATTCAAATGCACCGAATTTTAATTTGTCCGAATTTAATAGAATTTTTAAAACGATAAACTTTTATTTGTCCGAAATTTTAGATGACCAAATAAAAAATCGACAAAAAGATATTGTCGCAATATTTAAAATTATGACCAATCGGAAATTATCAAAAAAAAAATTGTGATTGGTAATTTTTAAATATTTAAAAATGCGCCGAATTTTTTATGTATATATTGTACGTTCGGCCATTTCGAATTTAGGACAAATGAAAATTCGTATAAATAAAAATTCGGCGTCGTAAAAATTCGTAGAAATAAAAACTCGGACAAATGAAAATTCGGCGTCTTAAAAATTATATCAATTAAAAATTCGTACAAATTAAAATTCGTACAAATGAAAAATCCGGGCATATAAAAAATCGGTGTCTTAAAAATCCGTACAAATAAAAATTCGGCGTCTTAAAAATTCTGTCCATTAAAAATTCGTACAAATAAAAATTCGGTGTCTTAAAAATTCTATCAATTAAAAATTTGTCCAAATTAAAATTCGTAGAAATAAAAAATCCGGACAAATAAAAATTCGGACAAATGAAAATTCGGCGTCTTAAAAATTCGTACAAATAAAAAATCCGGACAAATGAAAACTTGTCGTCTTAAAAATTCGTACAAATTAAAAATCGTACGAATAAAAATTCGGCGTCTTAAAAACTTGTACAAATAAAAATTCGGCGTCGTAAAAATTCATAGAAATAAAAACTCGGACAAATAAAAATTCGGCGTCTTAAAAATTATATCAATTAAAAATTCGGCGTCTTTAAAATTCGTAGAAATAAAAAATTCGGACAAATAAAAATTCGGCGTCTTAAAAATTCGTCCAAATTAAAATTCGTACAAATAAAAATTCGGCGTCTTAAAAATTCGTCCAAATTAAAATTCGTACAAATAAAAAATCCGGACAAATAAAAATTCGGCGTCTTTAAAATTCGTAAAAATAAAAAATTCGGACAAATAAAAATTCGGCGTCTTAAAAATTCGTCCAAATTAAAATTCGTACAAATAAAAATTCGGCGTCTTAAAAATTCGTCCAAATTAAAATTCGTACAAATAAAAAATCCGGACAAATAAAAATTCGGCGTCTTAAAAATCGTACAAATAAAAATTCGGCGTCGTAAAAATTCGTACAAATAAAAATTCGGCGTCTTAAAAATTCGTCCAAATTAAAATTCGTACAAATAAAAATTCGGCGTCTTAAATATTCGTCCAAATTAAAATTCGTACAAATAAAAAATCCGGACAAATAAAAATTCGGCGTCTTAAAAATTCTATCAATTAAAAATTCATATACAAATTAAAATTCGTACAATTAAAAATGCGGACAAATGAAAATTTTCTCTCCTAAACTATAATAATTAGAATTTTCAATTTTTTTTTTTTTTGCAGGTGAATTATTGTCCGGGTGCTCTATCCGAATTAATAGAGGAACTCTATAGTCTCGCATTACCCGGAAGTGGTGGTCCAAGTGAATTGGGTCTTGCTGTTGAACTTCATCGTGTGCGTGAGGAACTTGAGAGTACAAAGGAACAATTGAAACAAACGCAAGATGAATTGAAGCGTAGGGGTGAGGCGCTAATTGAAATGACGAGTAAATTGAGTGTTTCTGAAGCTGAATTACGTGGTGCACGTGAGGAACGTGATCGTGCAAGGGGCGATATTGAACACTCTGAATTGACAAAGGACGAGATCCTTGCACAGGCCTATCAAAGTAGAGATCAGGCGATTGCAAGGAAAAATAGAGTTGAAGTTGAACTTGCAAGGACACGAATCGATGTACTTCAAGCAAATAGTCAACTAATGGAGGCGATTCAGCAAAAAATTGAACTAAGCCAACAACTCGAACAATGGCAAATGGATATGCAAGCATTGCTCGATGAACACGTTAGAAGTAAATTGACACCTGGTGCCTTATCATCATCATCAAATGGTGATGGATCGGATATTGTTGCACCGGCGAGAAAAAAGCGTAATTCAAGTACCTCGAAAAAGAGATTTGGACTTTTTTGAAAGTTAGAGATTTCTTTTTATTCATTATGGCCGAATCAAAAATAAGGATAAAAAAAAAAGAATTCAAAACTATTTTTATTTTCAAATTGAATTTTTTTTTGGGAAAATTATTTTCCTGCAAAAGAAAATTTATGTAAATTGAATTCCGTAATTATTTCTTCGGTAGCAAAATGTTTGACAATTTGTAATACTGTTTTTTTTTTAAATGGAATTATTGCGAGAGAAGTGAGGCATGAATGCTTTCTTTATTATCGATAATAATGGGCATATTGTGTCGCGTTGAGTCCTCGACAAGAACGGAAATGTTCTTTAACTGAAATGATCTCTTCTTTTTTTTTTTTTTTTTTTTGAATCATATAATCTGAGTTTGTGACTCTCGGATTGAAAGAGTTGAGATTTGTAAATTTTTTTTTTATACATTATTATCCGTCCAACGGAAAGTGAAGCAACCAAAAATTGCGAATGGAAGTGCGTTTAGAATTTTAATAGGAGTTTTAAAAGAAAAAAAAGTTTTTATCCTTTTTATACAAAAAAATATAAATATATAGTGCAATATTAAAAGTTGAATGGACATGTGTACTTAAAAGTCGTGTGCCTTTTGCAAAAAAAAAAAAAATAAAAAAATTAATTAATAAAGTGAGAGAATGAAATATTGTTATATAAATTAAAGAACAACGACTAGATAAAATTTGTAAGATATTAGAAAAAAAGAGAGAGAGAGAAAGTGATGAACGCGCACGTGACTTAATCGATAAAAATCGATTTTACTCAGTGTCGCTTATTTATTTAATAAAAAAAAATAAAAAATTGTACAAATAAGAAAGCTTTTTTTGTATTTATTCGGAATTTTTTCGGTTCATTTTTCCAAACTAAATTCTCTTATTTAACTAAATTTCTATTATTTCTATTCAAAAAAAAAGTGTTCACTAATCGATAGTTAATTAATTGTTTAATTGTGATAATTGAAAAAAGATTTTAAAAATTAATTTTAAATCGTTAAAATTAAATTAAATATTTAAATTGGAAAAATAGGAAAATTTTATTCATTGCGATTGTTTGAAAAAACGATTTTTTGTTAATAATTGAATAATTAATTGTGAATAATTTAAGTATCCAATTATTTGAATATCTCTATAATTTAATTTTTCTTCAATTACTAGTGTCTCAGTTGATAGTTTTATTAATTCCATTATTCATAGAATACAATATCTTCATCATTGACTTTTTTTTTATTGAAAAATTAAATTGAGATATGATTTGGAAAATTATTTTTTAATATTCACAATGAAAATATCAGTTTAATTCTGTAATTTTTTTTATTATCATTTTTATTTGATTTGCATTTAACGATTCTTTTTTATATAAATGAAAAATCCTAAAAGCTTTGAATTTTTAATTCAGATAAATTAATTGACAATTAAAAAATGATTTTAAAAATAAATATAAAATCATTTAGTATTTAATTGATTTTAAATTTATTTCAATTATCTCTTTCAATGAAAATAATTTTTATTTATTTCCATTCAAAAAGTAATTTACAGATTAACACATTTTTTAATTGATATTTAAAAAATGTTTTCAAATTAAAATTTTAAAATTCAGTTAAATTGTATTGAACTATTTAAGTGATTTAAAATGTTTAATAAAAAATTGAAGTTTTGTGATACATTTTTGTTTCAGGAAGTGGCTGTGAAATCTCTAGTTTTATCAGAATTAAGTAAATAGTAGTAAACTTAGTAAATAGTGCAACAATTTTATTTGACAAGATATACAGTGTTTTTTTTTTTTTTTGGTATTTTTATTATTGAACACATAAAAATCACAGTTTTGTGTCAATAAAAATACTCACGTGTGAGATTCTTTTTTTTTCAAAACTTTATTATATTCTCTTTTTCTTACATTTTTCAACTGCTTTGAATTCTCTCAAAACTGAACATTTTTTTTCAGTAATATTTTCTGAAATTCTAATAAAATATTTTTTTTCTAACAATTAGAATAAAATAAAAACTCCTTTTTTGTAAAACGATTGAAAATAAAAAAAAAAATATATAATTTTCATTTACATATTATCGCCAGCAGAATATGCAAGTGTACGAATATTTAACCAAAAATAAAAAAGATTTGTATCTTTTTCATCGCCAATCCACAATGGATTTTCCTCATTCTCCTTGAATGCCGTTAATTTATCATCAGGCAAATATTTTTCCAAAAGTTCAAGAAATTTCATATTCTCATTTTCATAATCGTCAACAATTGATAATAATTTATTCGAACCAATTAATCGAATTTCTTTATAAGATTCCGAATCTTTAATTAATGAACAATCAATTGCCTCATGAGAAAATGGACACAATCCACAACTTTTGAAACTGGCTTGCAAAAATTCTTGATCATAAACAAAATCAATTGTTTGTTTTAAGGCAAATGAAAAATCTTCTTTACGAAATTTTCTTCCAAAATTCTCCTCATTCCATTGTTTAACAATATCCTTCCATGCATGTTTCATTGAACGAAAAAATCCCACATCCAATGGTTGTATTATGTGCGTTGCATTTGCGTGCAATGGAATTAAATAAATTTGATTTTCATCACAAAATTGACTCAATGACATTGTCATATTTGATGAATGCTTATCGATATATAAAATAATTGGAAATTCAATTTCATTTTTTACAAGCCATTGATAAAATGTACCAGTTATATAATTATAAAATGTTTCACCATTCATCCATCCATTTAATGAATTTCCATGAATCCAATCGTCAGGAATACTACTATTAATACTGTACGGTGTTCTTTGATAGCGAAACATTACCATTGGTGGGGCAATTATTCCATTTGCATTAACCATAAACATTGTTGTAAGACATTCCCTTTCATTATTATTATTACTTTTTGCTAAATTATAAACTGTCTTTGAACCACGTTGAATTAAAATTTTATCACCTTCAGGATTGAGAAAAAATGCCGCCTCATCGCAAGTAAATATTCTCGATGGATGAATGTCAATAAGTTCATTTTCAATTAAATATATTTTTATTTCATTGAACCAATTTTTTAATTTCTCTTCACTTAACATTGCACTACGCCGTTCACGTGTATTATCATCGATTTTTCTCGTTAATTTTGAATGACGTAAAATAAATTTTTCATACCAATGACGACCTGGACGACCATCGCTGAATGGAGTTTTTCGTTTTTCTATTTTATTCACTAATAATTGTACACTATCCAAAAGTTGTTGTTTCGTTAATGTAAATCCTTTATCGCTTATCATTGTAAACCAAGAGACAAGTTCATTTTCCTCTTTTTCTGTTAATACAAGTGCTGGTCCCTTTTTAGCTGATATTGGCGATTTACCCGTGTATTTATATAAAAGCGTTGTTCTTGGAATTTGATAAATTTTACTTGCATTTCGTATTGACATGCCATTTTTTATTGCCGCCAATGCCTTTTCAACATCTAATTCAGTGTACGTTGATTCTCTCGCCGTTTGTTTTTTTACAATCTTCGACATTTTCTGAAAAAACGAATTTTGTAAATTAATAATTTTTTTATTTTATTAATATTTTTTTTGGAAAAAATATTTCGATTTTAATTATTTATAATATAAAAACTAACTTGTTTTTTTCAAAATTATTATAGAAAAATAGTGAAAAAAAATATTTCCATTTTAATTATTTATAAAATAAAAACTAACGTATTTTTTTTGTTCAAAATTATTATAGAAAAATAATGGTGAAAAAAAATATTTCCATTTTAATTATTTATAAAATAAAAACTAACGTGTTTTTTTTTCAAAATTATTATAGAAAAATAATGGTGAAAAAAAAAATAGTAAGCAAAAAGAAAGAATGTGCAATTAAGACTGAAATTAGACGATATGGTTATCGTTTTTTTTTCCGTGTACGTTAATCCGACCACATTTAAAAAAAGATAAGTCTAAGATACACAATCTGTTATTTTTTTCTTTTGTTTGCAAAAAAAAAATAAAAAAAAAAAATGACATCACATTTATGCAAGAATATTTAAAAATAAAGGCAATAATTTAATTTTTTCCATTACACGAAACAAAAGAATTATTATCAATAAATAAATTCTTTTTTTTTCCGCAATTTTGCAATACATATATATATACCTTGACATTAATTAAATCTGTTGTCAACCTTCATTGTATAGTCTATTGGTAAATCGATTTATTTTCTCCAACTTTTGTATAATATATATAACAACTGAGAATTATTACACAATAATTGCCATTAAATGTTCAGAATGTTCTAGTTTCTATTTTTCATTGACAAAAAAAAAATAAAAAAAAAAATAAAAAAAAGTAAATAAAAAAATAATAAAAATAATAATATTAATAAAAATAATAATTATTATTATAATAATTATAATAATAGTAATAATAATAATAATAATAATAATTATAATAATAGTAATAATAATAATAATTATAATAACAATAGTAATGTGAATTTCTAAGGCAAAATTTACAATAAATGTTTATTAATGACTTAAACACACGTTTAATATGAGTAATAATCAGAGTTTATGTACATAAACATTTATGACAAGTAAGTTAATTAGACCAGTTTATTAATATTAAACAATGACATTTTTAATTAGTGTTGGAAATTTTATTAAATAACAACAATTATTGTGAATTGATAATAAATTTAATAATATAATGTTTCAGTTATTTTAAATGAGAAAATTTTATTTTTAGGAAAGAAATGTCGACTTACCTTTCTTATTAGAGTCACGTTACACTTCTATTAGTACATTGACTGTGGTCTACGTTGTGGGAATATTGAATAAAATTCTACACAGGTGGAGCCACATACTGGATAGCCAGTGGGAAAATTATATTTTCAGCAGTTGGAAAATAAAAAAAAAAAATTATTTTTCCTTTTTTTCAAAAAAAAGGAATCAAATTTTCTTTTGAAAAAAAAAAATGATGGAAAATGGAAATTTTCATTTTTTGCAATTGTTTAAAAAAACAGTGGTTTTGTTTGTTAATAATTAAACAATTTGTTAAATAAATAAATAAATTATTAACAATTTGTTAAATACATAAATAAATTATTCACAATTTGTTAAATAAATAAATTATTCAAAATTTGTTAAATAAATAAATTATGAATTATTTGTTAAATAAATAAAAGAAATAATTATTAACAATTTATTAAATAAGTAAAAAAATAATTGTTAATAATTAAAGCATCCAATTTTTTCATTATTTCAATAATTTAATTTTTTCTAATTTAATATTGTCTCAGTTGATACTTTTATTATTCTATTATTCATAGAATATGGTACCTTCATCATTGACTTTTTTTTATTAAAAATTAAATTGAGAAATAATAATTTGGAAAATTATTTTGTAATCAGAATTTTTTTCCTATAAAAATTTTGCACTTTTACATTCAAATTGTGAATTTTTAGACAAATGGAATAATATTTTAATAATGACTATTAGTTATAATATTTAAATTAATATATTTTTTATTATATTTATATTAATATATTTTTTATTATATGTACATAAATATTTATTTTACTATTTACATAAATATTTATTTTACTATTTATATAAATATTTGTTTTACTATTTATATAAATATCTATTTTACTATTCATGTAAATATATTTATATATTAATATTTATTGTATTAAAAAATAATTAATTTAATAAATAAATATTAAATATATAATAAAAAATAATTCACTAGTTAATATAATAAACTAAAAGAAAAAATTGTGGATAGAGGATAGAGAAATAAAATTCAATTTTTTTTTGCTTTAATCCATTCCATTTATTGTGCCGCTTCTGATATTCAAGTTTTTCTTTTTTTTTTCTCTTTTCTTTTTTTAATAACCGGTTCAGTCTGTGAGATCGACGCCTATATATTATACCCATGTGACTATTTTATATAACAATCCGTCGAATCCCAATAAAAGTTTACATGGCCCGTTTTACCCTTTCGAAAATTCCAGTTTTCAAGCTCGGAGTTCAACATGGAAGGTAAATTACTGGACAAAATGCGGTTCATTATATAAATATGCATAAGATATTGTGCTGCTTTCAAAAAAAAAAAAAAGAAATTTTCTTTTTTTTTTTTTATTCCATTTTCGTCTCTCTAATGTGACCTGCGGTCAAGCTCAGATCGTACTTCTACGATATGATAAACGCGGGCTTTTTTTTTTTTTTTCTTTTTTTTTTTTAACGAGTGTTAGAACCAGAATTCGGAACAATCGAGGTAAGAGAATTTCCCAATTTTTTAATTCCTTACAATTTTGGAATTTGGATAGAAATCTTTTTTTTTTTATTTTATTTTAATAAACAGAAATTTTCGAAAAAAATTTATTTTTAATATAAAAATTCGAATTGACTCAATTTTTTTTTTTATTGAACAATTTGAATTCTAAAGTGAAAAATAGATTCTCTAATTTTGGAACGGAAATATTTTGTGTTTTCGACTTAGAGAAAACGTAGAAGTTTTTCGAATTTTCCCTCCCCTGAGGTTCCTTTTTTTTAACACTCGTGCGGATAATTGTCAAAGCGAACGAATATACACATTCGACACGAATATTCGAAAGTCGCTGAGAAATTTTTTCTTTTTTTTTTTTGGAGGCAAAGAAATTCGATTTTCGAATATTCGGACGACTTCGAGCAAGCCGAACTTTCGACTATATTTCATAGATCTACTCGATAACCGCGCGCGTGCACAAAGTTTTTTGTAACAGTTTATTTTTTTATTTTTTATTTTTTTTTTTTTTTTAGTATTCCATGAAAAGGTGTAAAGTGCTTCGTGTGTGGAATGAAGATGATTAATCGACGAATATACATTGTAATTAGGTATCTGTCGTGCCTGTCCTTTTTTTTTTATTTTTGTATGTAGAAATGCATGCGAAGTGTGCAGGGTGCGTCGGACGTTAGGTATTAATTTTTTGGATCACACTAGATCTCAGATCCGGCTTGCCGAGCTTAACTTATTTATACGTACATATATTTTTATATGTCAATATATTATATATATTTATATATATAATATGTATATAGCGCACAACTTTTTTTTATTTTTTTTTTTTCATTTTTTTATTTTTTGAAACTTTTTTTTTTTATTATTAACGTACATACGTTGCGGAGACCCGACAAAATTTCGGGCAACTTCGCGCTAATATTTGTCATATCACCTCTCGAGACACGAGTTCTATTATTTTTTTATTTTTTTTTTTTTTTGCCATAAAAAATAAATTCCCTATTAGCTAACCGTGTTGGACAAACGACGACAACGTCATTTTTTTTTTTTTTCACTCTATTTCTTTCTCTCATCTTTCTTTCATTTCTTTTGCTAGTCTGTACAGAATACACGTTTATTTTTAAGCTCTCAAAGCTTTCTCGTAAAATGCCTCGTGGAAACGTTGTGTGTGCCTTTTTCTATCCCCCCTTCCCATTATTTTTTTTATTTAACTCAAAAACGAATCTTTTTTTTGAAAATTTAATTAAAAAATAGATTCGAATTCGATTGTATATACAATTTTTTTTTTTTTTTGAAAAGGAACTGCAACGCTTTGCTCGAAAATTAATCAAGACACTGCGATAACATACATACACGTAAGCGTAGATCACTATAAATTTTTTTTTTTCTGTGATACATTTTCAATATTAAACGCTCGATTTCCAAATTCTGCGTTGTCAGTCCTTCTTCTTCTTCTTCTCTCGAATTTTTTTATGGATTGCTTTCCCAGCGTGAAAATTGTTTACGTCTTGTGTCGAGAGAAGGTGAGAGTAACGATCTGAGAGAATCACTTGGAGAGGAATCACCAAAGTACAACAGGGTCAAAGGCGACTGCAAGTGTGTGTGTTTGATGATCTCTCGCTCAGGCAACGGCCAGAGTTCCTGGAATGCAATTCCTTTGACAACATTGCCAGAAATATGATCATTGGATAATAATTTTCAAAAAGGAGGGGGGCAAATTTTTTTTTTTTTTTTTTTTGGGTTAGACGAAAATAATAATAATATCAAAAATTTACCTGTAGCGAGAGAGCTTCGTCTCAGGATTCACCTTGTTTACCTCTACGTCCCGTGAGTGAACCAACAAGTGATTTTAAAGTTGCACCAAAGCCACGACCATTTGGTGTATTTAAACTTCGGGCATTTCGAAAACCTTGTGGATGAGCGTCCAAACATTTTTGATACCTTAACTGGAATTTTTTTTTTATTTTAAATTTTTATAAATTATTGCAAATTAATTCTATGATTTTTATAAATTATTTCAAAATAATTCTATGATTTTTATAAATTATTTCAAATTAATTCTATGATTAAATTTATAAATTATTTCAAATTGATTCTATGATTTTTATAAATTATTTCAAATTAATTTTATATTATTACATTAATTGCAAAAAAAAGTGTAGGTAAATTTTTTAATTTGTAAAAATTTCATGTAAATTAATTTGGACAATTAATTATGAGAGATTTTTATAAATTATTTCAAATTAATTCTATGATTTTTATAAATTTCAAATTGATTCTATGATTTTTATAAATTATTTCAAATTAATTCTATGATTAAATTTATAAATTATTACAAATTGATTCTATGATTTTGATAAATTATTTCAAAATGATTCTATGATTTTTATAAATTATTTCAAATTAATTTTATGATTTTTATAAATTATTTCAAATTAATTCTATGATTTTTATAAATTATTTCAAATTAATTTTATATTATTAGATTAATTGCAAAAAAAAGTGTAGGTAAATTTTTTAATTTGTAAAAATTTCATGTAAATTAATTTGGACAATTAATTATGAGAGATTTTTATAAATTATTTCAAATTAATTCTATGATTAAATTTATAAATTATTTCAAATTGATTCTATGATTTTTATAAATTATTTCAAAATGATTCTATGATTTTTATAAATTATTTCAAATTAATTTTATGATTTTTATAAATTATTTCAAATTAATTCTATGATTTTTATAAATTATTTCAAATTAATTTTATATTATTACATTAATTGCAAAAAAAAGTGTAGGTAAATTTTTTAATTTGTAAAAATTTCATGTAAATTAATTTAGACAATTAATTATGAGATTTTTGATTTTATTTGATTTTTTTTTTTTTTGAAAAGAAAAATTCACCTTGCACGCAGCTTCGATTGTTTTGCAGAGAGCTCCACTGCTTGGCTCACAATTGAAAATGTGTGCGATAAATGTGTCCTGCGCTGTGTGCATGATAAAAGCGCATTGCTTCACATTATGACCAATTCCCAAAAATGATAAATAACGAACTCGACACTCTGTGATTAGCTTGTCGTCCTGACAACAAAAAAAAATTAACAATTTTCAAAATTAGAAAAAAAAAGAAATCATTTTTTCGTAAATTAAAAATAAAAGAAGGAATTTTTCATTTTGTAAACTATGTAAATTAATAATAATAATTATTATTATTTATAGAAATTAAAATTTTTTTGAAATTATTTTCTTTTTAGAAAAAAATAATTTCTATTTAATAAATTAATAAATAAATAATAAATAATTATTATTTATAGAAAATAAAATTTTTTTGAAATTATTTTCTTTTTCGAAAAAAATAATTTCTATTTAATAAATTAATAAATAAATAATAAATAATTATTATTATTTATAGAAATTAAAATTTTTTAAAAATGATTTTCTTTTTCGAAAAAAATAATTTCTATTTTAATAAATTAGTAAATAAATAATAAATAATTATTATTTATAGAAATTAAAATTTTTTTTAAATTATTTTCTTTTTAGAAAAAAATAATTTCTATTTAATAAATTAATAAATAAATAATAAGTAAATAATAAATAAATACAAAATAAATAATTAATAAATTAATTAAATAATAATTATTATTTACAGAAAATAAATTTTTTTTTTTGAAATGAATGAAATTACAAAAAGGGAAATCAAATAAATTTTTTTCGGAATAATTTCTTTTTAATAATATTGTTTTTTGTAATATAAAAAAAAAATGTTGAAACGTCACTTACGTTTGGTGTTAATATAGAAATCATACTCGGCGCAACAGCAACGTTGACATTTCGCCACTGACTTAGGGGTGTATTGGTAACAGTGTGGTCTATTGCATTATTTAATACTTCCATTCCACTGGCTTGGTTGACCTGCATCGATCCAAGGTATTGTGCTCGAAGCACCTTCTTAGGCTCCTCCATTGGTGTAGGAAACGATTGTGCTTCAAAAAAAAAAAAAAAATAATAATTAAAATAATTTTCAATTTTTGTTTAACAAATTGAGAAATTCATTTCTTTTTGATTTTTTAAAAAAATTGACATAAAAAAATTATTAAATTAACTAATTATTAAATTATTATTATTAAAAATTACATGTTTTTTTATTATTAATATTTTGAAAGCAGTTATTTTTTGTAAATAAATTTTAATAAATTTTTTTTTTGTTTCGTTGCAATTATTTTAAGGATAAATTTTTTTTTATTTTGCAAAATATTTTCTAGATATGGATTAAAAAAATGATTTTTTTTTGCTTTGCAATTATTTTGTAGATAAATTTGGTTTCCAAAAATTTTTTTTTTGCTTTGCAATTATTTCGTAGATAAATTTGGTTTGAAAAATTTTTTTTTTTGCTTTGCAATTATTTTGTAGATAAATTTGGTTTCAAAAAATTTTTTTTTGCTTTGCAATTATTTTGTAGATAAATTTGGTTTCAAAAAAATTTTTTTTTTTGCTTTGCAATTATTTTGTAGATAAATTTGGTTTGAAAATTTTTTTTTTTTTTGCTTTGCAATTATTTTGTAGATAAATTTGGTTTGAAAAATTCTTTTTTCTTTTATTTTTTCAACTTACTGACGAGTGCTTGTCCATTTCGGTGAAAACGTCGATGCTCAGTTGGAAGATTTGTTGGCCTCGCAGCTAAACTTGTTCTACCATTAATATCCACAGGCCTTGTTGGATTTTGTTGAAGTTCACGTTCAATCAAAACTTTTTTGCATGCATCTCGCAATGTGTTGGCAATAGTAAGCGGAGGAATGTCACAACGAAATACATGACACATGTATTTTCTGGTTGATTTGTCCCTTGCCACGTATGCAAAATCCCTGATGGTAGACGAAAAAAAAAAAAAAAAAGAAAAAATCATTTACTATATTTCCATTTTTCTTTTAACCAACTATATCTACTATTGTGATAAATTACCTCTCACTGATTGAGTTGTCCAAAAAATAGAGAAGAGAAGCAGAATAAAAAAAAGCACAAGAGAATTAATACTTCAAATTCAAATTAATTTTTCTTTTTTTTAAATTTATTTTTTCTATTTTAATTTTTATTTCCAATTTTTATAAATAAATTTTAAAAAAAATTAATTTTTAAAATTATTAATTATTGTTCAGAAAAAAAATTCTTTTTTTTTCCTTACTTTCCCTGATCTCGTCCAACGCCCCAAACTTTGAGTGTACTGAATGGCTGTGTATTGAGAACAGTGAGATTTTCGGGATCAATTAATTTAAGAGCCCCCTCGCCAAGATCCATGAAGAGATCCTTACCCTATAAAAACAAGACGACAGATTGATTTTGAGGGAAATTTTTTCATCCCAATCTGGAATTGTTAAAAAAAAAAAAAAAAAAAACTCACATCTCCCCATCGGCCAACAACATCGAGAAGATCATTTCTTCCCAAGGTGAGATCAACGATACATTTATTAACAGTTTTTCTACTTCTTTCCTCAGTGACATCTTCCTCGGCAACTTCAACCCAACCAAATGATCGTACTGCGAATCTAATTCTTTTGTCTCTACCCTCGGAATCAGCTCTTGCTGGATAACTTCTTCTTCTGCAAAATAAAAAATTATTATTTTTTTTTTTTCATTAAATATTATATTTTTATTTTTATGCATGGGAATTTTTTATTATAATAAAAATTAATTATATATTAAAAAATATATATATATATAATAAAAAGTACTTGAGTGCTAATTCTTCTTTTCTCTTGTTCTTCAATTCCTGACTTAGAGCTGAACTTGTATTGCTACGTGTTACAGTGTTTGTCATTCCACTCAAAGAATGAAAATTATCCACCTGAAATAATTAAACAATAAATAAATAAATACTAAATACAATTATTATTTAAAAAAAAAAATTTGGTTTAAAAATTATTTTATTTTTAATTTCATTTTTTCTTTCCTTTTTTCCTTCTTTCATTTTTTTTATTTATTTTTTTTATTAATTACCTATTTAAGTATTTATTACACTGAAAAAAAAATTTGATTCAAATACCGGTGTATTTGGTTATTATTAAATAAATATTTACTTGAATCAAATATTTCTTATTTGAATCAAATAAATGGTATTTGCTTCAAATACTGAAATATTTGATTCAAATATTATATATTTGATTCAAATAAGAAATATTTGATTCAAGTAAATATTTATTTGATAATAACCAAATACACCGGTATTTGAATCAAATAAATTTTTTTTTCAGTGTATTATAAAAATGATTTATTTATTATTAGAAAAAAATGTAGAAATGTAAAAAAAAATATACCTATAATATTTATTATTAAAAAAAATGTACAACATTAAAAATTATGCTCTTAATTGTTTTTAGAATTATTTTTATTTTTCAAAAAAAAAAAAAAAAAAAATTTATTAAAAAAAATACCTGATTGTTTTAATAGGTATTTATAATAAGGGTTTATATAAATTTTCTCTCAATATTTATTACTTTTTTTCTTCTAAAAAAAAATTCTATTTTTTGTAAATTGTAAAAAAAATCTTAAATTTTAAGAACTTACACTGTCATTGCTTTTGACCAGTGAACGACGATTTTCCGTTTTTGAAATGATTTGTGGTTCTGGTGGTTCTCTCTGGATAGTGCCACTTTTGATGTGCCAGTAATAAGGACCTTCCTGGTCTGAAATCATTTTAGAATTCGGTCGGTCAGTCACCTGTTGCGCTTCTCGACTATATATATATATAGCTGGGAAGTGTGTTGAACGATATACATAATAGATCTCCTACACAATTCCCACTTATTTTTTTATTTTCAAAATTAAATTAAAAAATAAGAAAAAAGAATTAAATTAAGAAGGATAAATTAATGTAAAAAAAATTTTTTAAATAAAAATTGTAAATGAAAATTTTCAACAATTCGAAAAATTAGAAATATATTTAGAAATTAAAAATTGAAAGTTTCAATTAAAATTATTTTTTATTTTTATTTGTAAATAAATAAAAAAAAAAATATTAAAATTCTTAATTGAAAATTGTAAAACGAACTTTTTTTGCAAAATTTTCTTTTTGAAATAAATCAAGAGGACAAAAAATTGTTTTTTGGTAATAAATTGAAATAATTAAAAAAGAGAAATGAAATACTCACCCTCGTGTTTTTCCCATCCGTGTGGTAAATTTTCGTCCTTGGCCTTGGACTCAATTGTTTCAACGTCAATTACAGTGGGTGGTTTTTCCGTAACATTATTTTGTAAACTTGCATTTTTTTGCTCCTTAGGCTGTCGTCTTTTTACAGGAACATTGTGTAATTCATTTAATCCACCTTCAACGTGCGGTGTTCCACCCATGTCGGTTGTGTCAATATTTCCACCTTTCTCGCAAAAACTGAAACAAAAAAAAATTTTTTTTTTTCATTAAAAATCAGGTACTTAACATTTTTTTTTTAAATAAATAACAAAAATTAATAAATTTTCTTTTTTGTCCCAAAAATATTGACTTTTGTTATTTTTTGAAAATATATTTTAAAAATAAAAATAAATGGAAAAAAAAAAATTTCCTTGTAACAGGGAAACGTTTCAAAAAAAAATTTATTTGATTCACTCGATTACTTGAGTATTATCAAATAATTATTTATTTGAACCAAATAAAAATTATTTGAATCAAATAAATATTTATTTGAATTAAATAAATTGTATTTGAACCAATAATTTTTATTTGAATCAAATAAATATTTATTTGAAGCAAATAATTTTTATTTGAATTAAATAAATTGTATTTGAACCAATAATTTTTATTTGAACCAATACTTTCTGTATTTAAAACAAATACCATTTCAAATAATAATTATTTGATACAAATAAATATTTATTTGATAATAGTCAAGTAATCGAGTATTTGAATCAAAAAAATTTTTTTTTTCACTGTACAGTACTTGTTTCAGTTAAATATTTCGCTATTCTAGTGAAACCTTTCGTTGTTTCTGGTAAATCTTTTTTTTCCGTGTATATTTTAAAAATAAAATTTTCAAAAATATTAAAAATAGTAAAAATAAATTTTTGGAATATTAAATTTTTTTTGGAATATATTTTTTTAACGTCGATATATTTTAATGAGCACTTAATAAAATATGTAATTTTTTCGATAATATTAGACAAAAAAGGGTTTAACAAGACATTTTTACGAGTCCTATATAGAATGGTGTTTAGGGTGTCGTTAATCTAAGAAATACAAACTTGGACGATAAAGCAACTTGGCCTAAATGAATATATGCGACAATTACCAAGCAAGGAACTATAAAGATTTCACAGGGAAGTTTAACGACCGTTAAATGCGGCATTATCACGTTGTTGTGATCAAGTTGCCTCGTTAATTTATATACCATGTCAAGTGGAAAATTTAAATATTCAAACAATAATTACAAAATAGTAATTAACTTTTAATATCTTGGCCTTTTTTTTCTCTTTCTTTCAAAAAATATATTTATAATTTAATCGAATTTATTTTTAAACTTTAAATAAATTCCTTAAAATATAACACAGAAAATTAAAAGGCATTAAAATAAGCTGCAACGCTTATTATTTTAATCCAATTTTGATTATTTTAATACCAAAATGGATTAAAATAAGCAAAATTGGATGAAAATAATAGCAGCTTATTTTAATGCCTTTTAATTTTCTTTGATTTTTGAGTGTTTAAATATTTATTTTTTTTTGTCCTCTTTTCTATTTTAAAATTTTTATCATTCAACGCGCGTTTATTTAATTTTTTTTTTTGTGACGATACTTATAGTTTTTTGAAATGTCAGAAACAGTGGAGGTTTGATGATGAAATCGAGTGTATATAGAGAGTATTTTACGCATATCCTGAGGCTGTAAAGTGCTTTGGTCCTGAAAATTTCTAGAGAGCTATTCAAGTAGTGCTGAAGCATCAAAAGCACTAGGAGAAGCTTTACGAGAATCTAGAAGCGAAAATACAGGAGGCAAAAAAAAATTTTAGGACCGAAGAAGTGAACAAACGATTGAATTTGTTGCATAGAAAAAAGAAATATTAAAAAGTTCAAGAATAAAAATATAAATTCTGCCTGAATTTCCATTTTTTATTAACAATGTTTTTAAAAATTACTTTTTACTATTTTTATTATTATTTTATTATTTTTTATTTATTTATTATTATTTTTTTTATTATTATTACTATCATTATTATTATTATTTTTTTTTTTATTATTATTACTATTATTATTATTATTATTATTAATTATTGTTACTATTATTATTATTTTTAATTGTTATTAATTATAAATTCTTGTTATTTCGTTATCAGGAGTAAAAAAATTTAGTTTTTCAAACTATTTTATATGGACGTAGTAACAGTCAGTAGCTGTCAGACATTCAAGAATTTCCTAACTTTCTAGTATCAGTAGTAAAAGATAGTTGTAGTCAGACAAAACTTTCTCTAAATTCTATAATTTTGAATTATTAATTATTAAAAAGAATTTTGCAGAATTTTTTTATAATTTTTAAAATCAGTCGTAAAAGTCAGTTTTTTGTCAGATATTTCAAAATTTTTGTAAGATATATAGTAATTTAATTAATTAATATTACAGTAATAATTAAAAATTCTTGTAATTTTTTTATAAGTAGTAAAAGTATTCTTTAGTCAGCCAAAATATTTTTCTGATTATTTTTATTTTCATTAAAAGTCAATTTTTTCAGTAGTAACAGACAGTTTCAGTCGGACATAATGGTTTAATTTATTTTGTTTCTTCAGTATAAATCAGTAGTTAAAGTCAGTTTTTAGTCAGACATTTCAAAATTTTTGTAATTTAATTATTAATTATTAATTATTAATAATTTAATTATTTATTATTACAGTAATAATGAAAAATTCTTGTAATTTTCTTCTAAGTAGTAAAATTATTCTTTAGTCAGGCAAAATATTTTTCTGATTATTTTTATTTTCATTAAAAGTCATTTTTATCAGTAGTAATAACCAGTTTCAGTCAGACATAAAGTTTTAATTTTTTTATTTGTTATTATTAATCAGTAGTAAAAGCCGGTTTAAGTCAGACAGAAAAAAATAATTTACTGTTTCAAAGAAATATAAAAAAAAATGTATAATAAAATACAAAAAAAATTTTTTTTTTATAAAAAACATTTTTAGTCAGACAGAAATTTCTTTTTAATTTTATTTTTTTCCTAAGTGGGGTGGTGATGGTGGGGGGGGGGGGAGATCTAGAAAAAGTGTACGACGAATTCGTACATACTTTATGACGTCGGCGCCGGAAGGATTGGCGACTGGTTCTCCATGATTTTCCAGAGTGGAAGCTTTCGGCAGAAGCTTGCTAGTCGATCGGGGATTCCCATTGAGGGTGTCGTCGATCAAAGTGGATTCAGCGACCACTGCCACACCCTCATTGACGTATCTGAATCATCACGGTATTATTGAAATTAGGAAAATATCCTGTCTTTTTTTTTAAAAAAAAAATATCCTACAATAATAAAAAAAAATCACAAAATTTCTCCCTTTTATTTTTTATAGGATTAATATATTTGGAAAAAATATATTATTTATTTTATTATATAATATAATATTATGGAATGTTATATAAATTATAATTATATAAAAAAAATAATAATAATAATAATAATAATAATAATAATAATAGTAATTTATAATAATAATTATATAATTATATAGAATTATATAATATTATTTATAATTTCAATTTTAATAATATAAAAATTATATTCTCTCTAAATCTGAATTAGTAAAAATGTTTACTAATTTAAATTAGTGACTCACTTTTTGCTTTAGAATTAGTTAAATTTTACTAATTGTTAGTAAAAGTTACTAATAATTAGTAAAATTTTACTAATTCAGAAGTAAAAAGTGCGTCACTAATTCAAATTAGTACACATTTTTACTAATTCAGATTTAGAGAGTTACATAATATAATTCTATTATATATTTTAAATAATAATTATATTGAGAAAAATATGCTCAACAGTATTTTTGCAAAAAAAAGTATAAAAAATATTATTTTAAAAGCATCTGCTGTAGAATTTATATCTCATATTTTACAAATTTTATAACGTATAAGCTTTTGAATAAATAATTTTCTATGCCTTTGCGGTGGAAATACTGTAGATTCAATAGCATATTTTTTTTCTGTTCTAATACTTTATTCAGCATTCGGATAATTGTAGAAAAAATTTTTTTTTTGAATTTAAATGAAAATTTTTATTTTTAATTAAAAAAATTGTTTTTCGAAAAGAAAATCAATAAAAATAAAGATATTTAAAAAATAACAATGTAATTAAAAAAACAAAAAAAATTGAAAATTAATTTCAACTAAATTAAACAAAAGAAAATTTTTTTTTTTTAATTTTCATAACTTTGTGATAATGGTGAATTGAATGAAAAGTTTTGTGACCCTATTTTGGTGTCCGTGACATAGTCCTCATGGTTATTTGCATAAATTTCGTTGTCTACTTTTTTTTTTTTATTATTATTGGATATTCGTATAATAGGAAAATTAACGCTTTCTCTTTATGCTAGCACCATTTTAATTAACGATCAGGGAACACAGCCAGATCTGTTTTACCCTTCTTTATAAATATACATATATATATGTATATATATATATATATATTCCAACTAAGACCTTTATTCTAAAACACATTTACTTTAGATTCGCCTACCATGTCAACGTAATTAAAGGATTAGCAAAGTATTTGCTGACTAACGCTAGAAAAACGCACAGAACCATTATATTATTATTGTTATTATTATTATTATTATTATTATTATTATTATTATTATTATTATTATTATTATTATTATTATTATTATAAAAACAAATATTTTTTTTTACTATTTTTTTTGGAAAAAAATAAATGTTTTACTAAATAAAAAATTATATATAAATAATAATAATAATAATAATAATAAATTTAAAAAAATCGAATTTTTTAATAATTATTTTTTGTTAAATTTTTCTTTTGTGACAGAAATAAAAAAAAAAAAAGAAAGAAATTGTAAATTAGAAATTCCTATGAACAAGAATGTGGGAAGAAGCACTACTTTGCGGTAAGTAATATGAAGGTTACTTAACCACATGCATATAAGTTGGATAGTCGCCAACTATATAGGGGTGAATATTGGTGTGTGAAATGGAATATCAAAGAAGCCGCAGAAGGGATAGCATTTCACCTATTCCATTTTACAATGACCATTGCGAATTCATATATGATTCTCATAACATTCACCGTGTCTTCTAGAAACAAGCGGACGAAAAAAAAAAAAAAAAAATTTCCCAAACAAAATCGAAATGAAAAATTCATAGACTTTCAAAAAAAAAATTCTATTACAGAAAACACATAGAGAGAGAAAATTTCTTTTTTTAATTTTCTCCAAATAAAAATTGAAATTGTAAAATTTTCCATAGAATTATATTTGTATCAAATACAAATTTATTATTTTATTATATATTAATTTTATTTTTCACTTCATTACGTTAAATTTTATATTAAAAATTTTTATATTAAAAAAAAATTGTCTTAAAAGAAAAAACTGGACTAAAATTATTATTAAAAAAAAAAATTACTCAAAAAAATACTGGACTAAAATTTGTACACGTCATGGTTTTGAGACTTTTATGGATATTTTTCCTTGTTCCGGAAGATTTAGGGGTAACGGGGAGAGAGAGAGAGAGAGAGAGGGGGGGGGGGCGAATGAAACTTTTATGGTAGTTTCCTTCGCAAATGACAATTTTCTCTTACGAGACTTTTCAAGTTAGAATTGGTTGTTTTTTTCGAGGGGGAGGAAAAAAAAAAGAAAGAATATGTTAAATTTAAGGGGGTGGAAACGAGAATTGAAGATTACGATATACGAAAAAAAAACCAGGTTTACATAACCTTTTTTTTTATCATAATGATCAAATAATGTTTTATTAAATTTTCTATATTTACCAGAGAAATTCAATACAAGATTATATTTTAATTTTACACTGAAAAAAAAATTTATTTCATTCAAATAATCGCTTACTTGACTATTATGTCAAATAAATATATTTATTTATATTACACCCAGAGAAATGATTTATTTGAACCAAATAAAAAATATATTTGAGTTAAATAAACGTATATTTGTCTCAGAGCCTACTAACTTATTTATTTTGGGGTAAATAAAAATTTTTTTTGTCAGAAATAAATTTTTCTTTGGCTCAAATAAATTTTTTATTTCAATGAAATGAAATATATTTGCAACAAATAAATCAGTTAGTAGGCTCGGAGACAAATATACCATTTCTCTGAGTGTAAATAAATATTGGAACTAAATAAATATTTCCTTGGATTAAATAAATATTTCCTTGGATTAAATAAATATTTTCTTGTATTAAATAAATATCTCCTTGTATTGAATAATTATTTATTTTTATTAAACAATTATTATCATTATTATTATTATTATTATTATTATTATTATTATTATTATTATTAATAATAATAAATTTACGAACTTGTATTAATTCCCAATAAATAAAATTATTAATATAATAAATAAAAAAAATTCTTTCCATGAATAGAAAAATGTTTTTTTTTTTTAAATTATAAGAAAAAAAAATTGTAAAATAGAATCGTGAAATAATTAAAGATTTCCTACATTTAAAATTTATGTAAAGCGTCAACGACCCGGACGTCACGTCTTTTTGTATTCCTAAAAATATAGAGAAAAATAAAAATAGTTGTGTCCTGAATTTTATATTGTTATAATAAATACTACATTATATATATATATATATATATATATATATTGGAAATATAGCTATACGGAGTATAGTAACGAGAGGTATATCTGCGTATTGTAGAGAATGGTGATGCAGAGTCCTAGTGGCGTCGGGATGACGCTCGGTCGATCAATACACACTACCATTTTCCAACCCCCTCTACACCAGAGTTTTACTCCCCCCCCTCCTTCCTCCCCATCACCTCCTCTTTTCAACCCCTTGAACTACCTCTACCTCTCTAACTTGCTTTCGTTGCTGTATATATGTATATATCGTACACGAACGGTACTGGCGTCTTACCGGCTAGCTAGTCGTGTATATATAAGGTGGCTCACCCTTATGTAGGTGGCTCAAAGCGCTCAACCAGGGTGGCGGGTAATTAAGTTTATGTTGATTTGTACCCCATCGATTCTCCACTTACTAGCAACTATATACGTCTCTCTTTCTCTCGTTTAAAATAAAACATTTTTCAAAAAAAATTTCTATGTTCTTCCTTTTTTTTCTACTAAATATCATAATTATATTTTTTGATTTATTTAATTTTATTTGTTCTTTATCGAAAATTGGACACGAGATAATTAGATGCTTTTATATTTTCAATAGAGAATTAATTAAAGAATTGAACAATTAAAAGAGGATTTTTTATTTAATAAAAATGTAAGTATATAGGATAAAAATTTTGGAATAATTAAAGGGGCGTTTTTTATTTAATAAAAATGTAAATATAGGGAAATTTTTTTTTTTTTTTTATATAAATTTTGATATAGTAACAAATTATTATCACTGCCAATTAATTGGATAATAATAAGATACTTTTTTTTAGAATTATTAAGATGAGTCGAAAAAACTAAAATTCACGGTCAATTAATTGGATGTAATAATTCATTTTTTAATTCCAATGAATTGGATGTAAGAATTAATTTTTTCCAATTAATTGGATGTGAGAATTAATTTTTTATTCCCAATTATTTGAGTGTAAGAATTACTTTTTTAGTTCCAATTAATTAAATGTAAGAATTAATTAAATTCCAATTAATTGGATGTAAGAATTAATTTTTTCCAATTAATTGGGTGAACGAATTAATTTTTTTCCAATTAATTGGATGTAAGAATTAATTTTTTATTCCCAATTATTTGGGTGTAAGAAATAATTTTTTATTTTCAATTATTTGAGTGTAAGAATTACTTTTTTAGTTCCAATTAATTAGATGTAAGAATTAATGTAATTCTAATTAATTGGATGTAAGAATTAATTTTTTTTCCAATTAATTGGGTGAACGAATTAATTTTTTATTTTCAATTATTTGAGTGTAAGAATTACTTTTTTAGTTCCAATTAATTAGATATAAGAATTAATGTAATTCTAATTAATTGGATGTAAGAATTAATTTTTTTTTCCAATTAATTGGGTGAACGAATTAATTTTTTTCTAATTAATTAGATGCAAGAATTAATTTTTTATTACCAATTATTTGGGTGTAAGAAATAATTAATTAGATATAAGAATTAATTTAATTCCAATTAATTGGATGTAAGAATTAATTTTTTTTCCAAATAATTGGATATAAGAATTAATTTCTTAATTCCAATTAATTGGATATAAGAATTAATTTTTTATTTCCTATTAATTGGAT